GCTTTTAGTTTTAATTACTTTTTCTTATTTGTAAGTCGCTTTGGATAAAAGCATCTGCTAAATGACTAAAAGTAAAGTCAAAGTAAAGGCAACTGCAATGAAGCATCGAGAAAGACATGAGCAGGCCAGTCCCTGAGACTGATAATTCATGGTAAGAGAACAACTACGGTTTTGAGAGATTTGTGTATTCTATATGGGGTTTGCCTTTTAAAAGTGTGCCATTTCTACTTGTTTTTCAGAGAAGACATTTCTGTCACTAACAAAGTGGATGGTGAGCAAAGGTGGTGGCCACGTTTTGGAGCAGCACCTGGGTTTTGCAGATGGCTATATGTATTCTTTGGCTGCTTATCTTTTTTCCCCATTATGTTTCTGTTGCCTAAAGATTCTTTGTTAGGATAAATCCAGATGATACAACATAATGCACTGCAAAATGTCCTAAGACAGGAGAAATGAAGATGCACTGTTCCAGCATTGGAAGACTGTATTTATGTGTTATACATGCAATGTTTTAAATAAAGAATTTGATATTTTGTAATTATTGTGTCTGTTTTAATTGAATGCCAGTAGTACCTATGTAGGGTAAAAATATGAAATATATTAAAATGAAATATATTAAATATATTAAAATGAATTAATTACAGTAGTATATACTGATGAATTGGATTTTTTTACAGTAATTTACTGTAAAAAGTAGTTTGCAACTGTAAACCAAATACAGTTTGCTACTGTTAATCTTAATTACAGTAACTTACTGTTACTGTAAAAACCATTTGAAATGTCTAACAGTGAGGGTTATTATATTTAACTAGGCTATAACCAGAGAGAGAGAGAGAGAACATTTTTGTTACTTGAAATAAAATCTAAAAATTCATTCATTCATTCATTTTTAAAATGATAAAAACACAATGCAACATTACAAAAAACCTAAACTAAAATTAACATTAAAATGGAAAACAAAAATAAAAAAAATTATAAATTAGGATAGTATCTCGAAATATAATAAATAAAAAATACAACTGTATTAATAATAGTATTGTATTATATTACACTTTGTAAACTTTTATATTATATTCTTTTATTTACATGATTCACAAACTATTTACACATATTTCACATCATTATCATGAACCATGTTCTTTGCATTATAAATTCTGTAGCTCGTAGGGAGTCTTTGCCACCAGAGGGCACTTTAGCTCATGTAATAATATGAATGAGCAGAGAGACTACTAGTGGCTTGAAAATGTCCATCTGATTCATAGATATTATTACATACAATAATGACCCATATGATTACAATAAACCTGAGATTTGGTTTGACAACGTACTTCTTTACGCGTGTCACTTCTTTGGCTAAATATTCAGATTGTTTACATTACATCTTTGACTTCATAATTTTTATATTATATTCTTTCTTACTAATACTAAGGCACATAAAATGATACTATGAAAATTATTTTATGAAAATGAGGTTATTCACGAAACTTACTATGGCGAAGGCTTAATCCTTAATATTCATGAGCCAAGTCCTTACAACAGCAACGTCACTTGACCTAATAAATATTAATAAGCCAATCCTTCACCGTAGAAGAAGCCCCGTCATCCTGACCTCATTAATATTCAGGAGGTAGGCCTCCGTCATCGGATGATTTCTTGTGGGCGGTGCCTGTAGAAGGAAGAAGCGCCGTGATGATGATGATGATGACAGAAACCGACGGTACCGGCATAGGAGCCGCTCCTCTTTTCTCTGCACATACCAAACCGGACTGGACCTTCACTGCATATTCAAATAAAAACCTTCAGACCTCCAGAATACGCAATACACATAGTGAATACTCATAGATCCAGCAACTTTAATGTCGGGCGTTAATACACAGATAAATCATATGATGGAGACGGAGATCCACGTGCCGGTGGGGTCACCGGCGATCAGAAAATTCCCGATCTTCGTGGACGAGCACAATGTGACGCAGGGGGCGATGAAGCTGATCAAAGAGCTCAGACCGCGCTGGGACCCGAACCTGATCCGGACTAAGGTAAATCCGATTGTCTGTAGCGTCAGCTAATCTACTCCCGGCGTCTTTAAGGCCTTTCTGTATCAATTTATTTTGCGGTTTATATATATATATATATCCACTTTGGAATATAGCGTAAATGCCGATGAAGGTTTTTTTGCGTTTTCACGTCATATTGCTAGTTATGACCCCATGAGTGACGTTGGAAACTAGTCTGGCTAATTTAGCCAGCTGCTGTGGTCATTACATCCAGTTTAATCACATTTAATCATACGTAGTCTACAATAAAACCGGTATAAAGCAATAAATTAACATCTTGCGTCATGCATGAGAAGATGTAGTGTGAAATGAGCTAGGAAAGAGTTTTTCCATCTCCTGTATACCTCACGGGCCAGCTGGCAGTGACTTCTTTGCTATGCTGCTAAACATAAGAGCCTAACATCTTCATAGTTCGATTCATACGATTGTTAAAAAATAAGTATAATAATAAAAAATATAAATTTAGAATTTATTAATTTTAGTGTGTTTAAAAATTTAGTTCATTTAGTGTTTGTGTGTGTACAAATAAAATGGTCGTCGCTGAGCCAAATCATTAATAATATTTTTTTTAATTAAAGGATTAGTTCACCCCAAAATGAAAATTCTGTCATTAATTACTCACCCTCGTGTTGTTCAAAACCCGTAAGACCTTCGTTCATCTTCTGAACACAAATTAAGATATTTTTGATGGAATCTGAGAGCTGTCTGACCCTCCCATAGACAGCAACGCAACTGAAATGTTCCCAGACACAGAAACGTAGCAAGGACATCAGTAAAACAGTCCATGTGACATCAGTGGCACAACTTCAATTTTGCGAAACTACGAGAATACTTTTTGTGCACAAAGAAAACAAAAATTACATCATTTATTTAACAATTCTTCTCCCCTGAGTTACTGTCTTCCGCCATTTTGGAGAGTACCCAAGAACGTAATCAGCGTTGTTTATGTTAGGGGGGAAAGCACGCGCATGAACGTAGTCAGCATTCACTTAGGGTAAAGCGTGCATATGCGTTGTGATACTCTCCAAAATGGCGGAAGACAGTAACTCGAGGGAGAAGAATTGTGGAATAAAGTTGTCTTTGTGCACAAAAATTATTCTCGTAGCTTCACGAAATTGAAGTTGAGCCACTGATGTCACATGGACTGTTTTACTGATGTCCTTGCTATGCTTCTGTGTCTGGGAACATTTCAGTTGCGTTGCTGTCTATGGAAGGTCAGATAGCTCTCAGATTCCATCAAAAATATCTTAATTTGTGTTCAGAAGATGAACGAAGGTCTTACGGGTTTTGAACGACATGAGGGTGAGTAATTAATGAGAAAATGTTCATTTTGGGGTGAACTAACCCTTTAATAATAAATAAATTTTAAAAATAATTAAAAAATATTAGGGTGTTTAAAAAGATGTTCATCTGTACTTTCATTATTGTGTCAACATAGTTCATGTTTGCATATCCCAGTTCAACTACATGCTAACACCTCAATAAATCTTTAAGTACAGTGAAATGAGTTTGCTTAGTAAGGTGTATTGCCATAATGAAAATGTACTTGTGCTGCATTTGCATAGAATACAATACATAAATCTGATTTAAATAAACCCCACGGTCTTTTTGCTCACAGGTAGTGTCAATGCATTTTGTTGCAGGTCATGTTGTTGAAGGTTCTGTCTGTACACACACACGTTTTACATAATGGTCAATCTGGGCTACGCTGGTGCACCAGTTACATATTTTGCTTCTTTTGTTCTTGACACAGGTCAGCTGTTGCTTATCACCTCTGAATAAGAGGTTATCTCTCAGATAGAGCAGCTCCCACCTGGCGTTCTGGTTTGAAACTACTTGATCTGATTAGATTGACTCGGCCCAAAACCACATTTGATTCAAAAGTGATCAGCCTGTTGCATTTGCGTAATCAGATCAATGTCTCACGACTTCATTGGAAAATGTTTATTTTCATTTTGGAGGATCACAATCTTCACACAGTTAATAACAGATATTTTAATAGTAATAGTAATAAAGCAAGCCTCCCATGAGGTAATTTGTCCTAATGCAGTTGTTTAAATAACCTGAGTCACACTGACTGTCTGGCCTTACGTCTCCACCCAACGCCACATAGGCTACACACTTAACACAACTATAAACATGCATTATTGCACCGATTATCAGCCTTATCTGTCGTATCTGTTTGAGCATTATCGTTTATGATGTGATGGGAAGTGAAGGTTACTAATGAACAGTGTTATTATTGTTTGTGTGTCTTTACGCAGAGACAGCGTGTCCCAGTCCACGTCACTAATGAATCTCATGATGACGTGTCCGAGACATATTTCAGCGTAAAATCAAGAAAAGACATAATAATTCATATCTTGTGCTTAAAGAAATTAAGCCTTTTTTTGTGATATTAAGCACATTTTTCTCCCAAATTCTCAATGTAATACAAAAAACCCCAGGGTGGTTGTATTTTATACTTATCACAATTTTTTTAAATAATGTTTTCCTGAAATTTTAATGTTTTGGCAATAAATAAATGTAATACGTTTACTAGCATTAATAGATTTAATATGGCAGAAATGATACCGCTATATTGACCCTGTAAAGCAATGGTCGCCAACCCGTCGATCGCGATCTTTATTACTGTCCCAGTAGATCCCGAAAAAAAAGTAAAATAAGTACTAAAATGAATTACATTTATGGGGTTATATTATTGTATCACTGAAGGGAACTGTCTTGAGAAAAGTTTAGATGGCAATGGCATTTTCTTCTCCGTATAAAGCGCAACGCTGCTTTGTTTACAGCGGTAACCAAGGAAACACTATATTGCGGTCGGTTCATAAGCAGTGTTGCCAAGTCCGTGGTTTTCCCGCGGAATTGGGCTACTTTAACAATGTTGCCGCGGGTTGTTGTTCATGTCCGCGGGTTGAAGCGACCCCAATAACGTGATATTTAGTCCCTGGAATGTGAATTTTACTGGAAGATCCCCGCCGAAAAACGTGTATTTTACCCCCAGAATGCGATTTTTACAGGGGAACCCCCTCGAAACACGATTGGACTAGTTTTATTGCGAAAACCTGGCAACCCTGTTCATAGGCGCCACCTGCTGTCAGAGAGTGCGTCTCATTCAGACCTGCTGTTTTTGTTTCGTGCAGATGTTTTATGTAGCAAATAAATAAATAACACCTAAAGTCAGACCCTTCTGTTTTTGTTTTAAATCCTGAAATTAATCTAAATCAAATCAAAAACAACTGCCCGTGCAGATCATGATTAAAATGCAGTGGTTTCCTCTAATTTCAAATGGCCAGATATTTTTGTTTAAAGCCAGTTTGTTTGTTATAAAGCAAATAGCCAATAAATAAATTTGCTTAAAAATCAGTAAAGAAAATAAATTCTGAATCAGCTCTGATCGGCGCATCACTAATTAAAATACTAAGTAAAAGGCCTCAAATTTGAAGTACAATCTGGGATGTCTTTTTCTATCAATTCTTCAATAGGTAGATCTTGTCTTTCATAAAGGCCGAGGTCAGGGATCTTGGGCCTAAAAAGATTGGTGACCACTGCTGTAAAGCATGCAATATGAAATTAAAGTCAGAAAAATTAAATATTTTGAAATGGAACAGTTCATTGAAACCTTAGACAAAAAATGTAAAAAAAGGAGTTTGCATATGTGTTGAGCGTCATATTTGATACATCAGGCTTTTATGGTGTGATATATTGAGAATATGGAACTCATACACAAAGAGGAAAAAAGACCCCTTGTTTTAGGGGCCCAAACAGTTGCCGATATTCATATAACCAAAAAGTTGATGTTTTTTTTAGCATTTTAACATGATTTTTTCTAAAAAAAAATGATGTATGCAATTATGTACACATCAGCTATAGATCCACACGACACTTTTTCAGGAAAATGATGGCAAACCTTCTGATTCATTTATAATGTTCAGCCCATTCCTTTCAGAAGTCCTTGTTGTGAATTCAACAAAACCTCAACTAAGTCAGCCAGCTAGATAATGTAACCTTGGGAACATTCAAATCTGCAGAATACACAACAGAGATATTCAATTTATCTAAATTTGCATGAGACAAAAACACATGGCCAAAATATTTTCCACTGGCCCATCCTTGGTCCTGGTCCTAAAAATAGACTTCATTTTGATATTTTATTCTGAAGATTTTGGGATGATTTATGACTCGAACGTGTTTTTTTAGAGATTCACCCCATACTGTTGGACGAAACATGAGTTGTGTTTGCGCTGCTTTGAAGCCAGGATGAATGAACCTAATCCCGTTCGACCTCAATGCGGGTGGCACGCCACTGTTTACAGATATCCAGCATAGTTTTCATCGCATGGTCATGTGACATAGCCGAAAGAGTTAGACGTTGTGTTGTGGTTGTTGATGATAACCACCTGACCTAGGCTCAACTGTAAACACTGACCATTCAGTCAGTTCAACTATCCTGCATTGTTCATATAATTATGATATTTAATCATATTTACTGTCAGCAATATATCTTAAACCCATTTGCTATTGAGACACATTACAAGATAGAGAAAAAAAAAAAGAAAGTGTGCAACCTGTTGACAAATCTATCGAACAGTCAAAACGGCACCTGATCAGAGTTGAATTCATCCTCTGTACTGTATGTTGACCACTGGTGCTGTTTGTACATTAGTCATTTCAGGAATCTCAGAAATGCATCGGTGGGTGGCAAGGCCGCTGCAGTGAATTGTGGGATATAATGTTACAAGTACAAAGCATTTTAAGTCTTGCCAGTTTATCATATGCTCCATTGTGATTGACATAGCTTTTTTGTGTCTTTGAAGGAATAGTTCACCCCAAAAAAAAAGTATAAAAATGTACTCGCCCTCAGGCCAACAAAGATGTAGATGAGTTTGTTTCTTTATCATTCAAACAGCTGATAAAAACATCAAAGTAATCCACACGACTCCAGTCCATCATTTAACACCTTGTGAGGTAAAAAGCTGCTTGTTTTAAGAAACAAATCCATCAAGGCATTTTAACTTTAAACCATTGTTTCTGACCAACATTCAAGTCCATAGTCCACAATAACGCTTCCTTTAGTAAAAAAGTCCATCCCTGTTGTCCACTTACTTCAAAATCCACCAACATACAAACTGTTTTCACTTATTTCTCTCCTGATTCAGACAAGACAACTTTTTATTTCGAGAAAGCAATAATATGGATAGAGGATTCGTATTTTAGCTGGAAGCTACAGTTGAAATTAAAAACATCTTGATGGATTTGTTTCTTACAAACATGCAGCTTTTGCACAAGACTTTTAATTGATGGACTGGAGTGGTGTGGATTACTTGTGGACTGTTGCGATGTTTTTATGAGCTGTTTGGACTGACGGCACACATTCACTGCAGAGGATCCTTTGGTGAGCAAGGGAAGTAATGCTACATTTCTCCAAGTTTTTTCTGATGAACAAACAAACTCATCTACATCTTGGATGGCCTGAAGGTGAGTAAATTTTCATTTGTGGCTGAACAAACCCTTTAAGTAAACATAAAACAGTTTCAACATGCAGTTCTTGTTGCATGATATACTTCAAATTACAGAAGTAAAACTGGTTTTGAATGCCGTTTCAAGTCAACTGTAAAGTTTATATATCTTGCAACCAAAAATAGCTGTGATTGCAATCCTTCCTTATGTTTGCTTTGTACCTTTAGCTTTTCACCGATGGCACAACTAACAAACTGGTGGGGTGTTATGTGGAGGACTGCCTCGAGGATGTGGTGCTGGTAAGGGTGTACGGCAACAAGACAGAGCTGATCGTGGACCGAGACAATGAACTGAAGAGCTTCCAGGTTCTGCACGCCAACGGTTGCGCGCCCCGACTTTACTGCTCTTTCCAGAATGGCATCTGCTACGAGTTCATGCAAGGACGTGCTCTGGATACTCAAGACGTCAGGGACCCTGTGTTACTCAGGTGGGTCCGTTCAGCACAAGGCACAAAATAGAAGGATCCAAATGGGTGTTCATTCTAAAAATAACACATTTATTTGGTCTATTGACTTGGGCATTTGGGTTAGAACATCTAGTACTTCACTTTGATTTTACTTTGATGTACATTGCCTATTTTGACCTTTGTGACTATAATAAGGAAGGCATTAAAACTGATCTTAGCTCTGTTCCAAAAACGTATACTTCTTACATATTTATAATTGTACTAATTACATAATTATACCTCATTTGTTCAAATTTTAAGATATTATCCTTTGATAAGAGAATCCCAGAATGCATTGCAATGAGGTAAAATTAAATGAATCAAAAATCAATACTGAAAATTATCAGTTTACACTACCATTCAAAAGTGTGATTGTTATTATTTGTAAAATGTTTTTGAAAGAAGTCTCGTATGCTCACTGATTATTTGATAAAAATACAGTAGAAGCAGTAATATTATGAAATAATATTGCAGATTAAAATAAGTGTTTTCTATTTTAGTGTATTTTAAAATGTAATTTTTCTGTGATGTAAAGCTGAATTTTCAGCATCATTACTCCAGTCTGTAGTGTCACATGATCCTTCAGAAATCATTCTAATATGATGATTTGGTGCTCAAAAACATTTCTTATTATCAATATTGAAATAAGTTTTGCTTCTTAATATTTTTGTGGAAACTGTGATCATTCTTTTCTAGGATTCTTTGATAAATAGCATTTATTTGAAATAAAAATCTTTTGCTTAAGTAGACACATAGTTTGATGAAAAAGAGAACAAAGGTGACATAATAGGCATCTTTTTAAAACGTTTGGTTTGTTGTTCTTCATATAGTCTAAGCTAACTGCAAATTTGGAGTGAAGTTCATGTGCACTCAGACAGAAGTGTTCATTCCTGTCATGAGGGTCACATAATCTCCTTCCAGGCACACAGTGAACCGTATCAAAATCTACACCAGTGACCCAGGGCTAATATCCATTTTTCCACACAAACAGCTTTTTCCAGGCATTGTATTTAACCTGAAATGAAACACTGCCATTTTGACCAACTTCTTCCTTTGTTATTATTGGCAGACTGATCGCGCGTGAAATGGCCCGCATTCACGCCATCCACGCACACAACGGCTGCATCCCCAAACCCAACCTGTGGATCAAAATGCACAAGTACTTCTCGCTGGTGGCCACTGAGTTCACAGACCAAGCATCTAATGTCAGGTAACCCTCAGAGAGTGGGTCTTAAATCTTCAATGATCTAAAATTCAGATTATAACACAAATAGTTCACAACTCAGAATCTGATTGGATGAGACCTATTAAAGCCATTTGAAACCTCTGTAAATTTAGATTTTGCTCAGACAGGTGTTACACAGTATACAGATTGCATCCGTCCATCTAATCTCATGCGCAGAGCTGTTATGTCACATAATCATCTCCACTGTCTTCCTTACAAACATGCTCTCTCTTTTTGCATCCTGACGTTTATCGGGAGTCGGAGATAATGCACATGTGAAGTCATTTCCGTCATCAATCATTAGAGCATTTGTTTCATAAGAGATTCTCTGGTGGAGATTATACTACTGCCCTAAGTCTAATCGGCCGATTTCACGCAGTAGTTTGACTTTATACAAGTCATCAACTTAAGCAAAAAAGCAACAAATCAGATCAGTGCTCCTAGGTTTTGAGTGAGCCGCTGCAGGGCAAAAGAAGATTCTAGAAATAGCTCCTTAAGCCCATTATGACGGGAGAGTGGTCACTCGGACAGCCTTTCTCATTGGTTTAACTTGACGACTTTATCACTTTGTCTTAATTTCTCTTTTGTTAATCCATCCGTTAAAAGCCTGATGAAGCATTTAGCTGATTCAGTAGGATTCCATTTGTTAACTCCAAGTACATGAACTGGCAATGAAAATTACTTTTATTAATCTTAATGTTCATTTCAGCATATAATAAAACATTATTAAAATCCAAAGTGTGTTTGTTAATGTTATTTAACAGACTTCAGCTAACATGAGCTAACATGAACTTATTAAAGGGATAGTTCCCCCAAAAATGAAAATTCTGTCATTAATTACTCCTTCATGTCGTTCCAAACCCGTAAGTTCCTTCGTTCATCTTCGGAACACAAATTAAGATATTTTTGATGAAATCCGAGAGCTTTCTGACCCTTCATAGACTGCGACACAACTGACACGTTCAAGGCCCAGAAAGGTAGTAAGGACATCGTTAAAATAGTCCATATGACATCTGTGGTTCAACCTTAATTTTATGAAGCTACGAGAATACTTTTTGTGCACAAAGGAAACAAAAATAATGACTTTATTCAACAATTGTTCTCTTCTGTGTCAGTCTTTGCTGCACGTTCACGAGAGTACCACGACACATGGGTGTGGTGCTGCTGAAACAGGAGCCGGCATTTTGACGTATTTGAATTAAATTCCGATTTAAATTCAGACCGTGGAGATTATTCTTAGGGATAAAGGGAGACTATTCCACAGTTTTGGACCAATAATAGAAAAAGCTCGATCACCCCTCGACTTATTATAACTCAACTAAGATATTTTGGAGCTGATCCGTTTAGAGCTTTAAAAACAAAAAGCGAAATTTTGAAATCAATTCTATAACAAATCAGCAGCCAGTGCAAAGAGTGTAATATTGGTGAAATATGATCAAATTTTTCTGCCAGTCAAAAGTCTGGAGGCTGCATTTTGAACCATCTGAAGACATCTAATATTGGATTGACTCATTCCAATATAAAGAGAATTACAATAGTCAAGTCTAGATGAAAGAACGAATGAAACACTCTCTCAAACTCTGCAAATGTTAAGAAACTCTTAGCCTTCGACAATAATCTTAATTGGAAAAAACTAGATTTAATAACAGCAATTATCTGTTTATCAAATTTGAGGGCAGAATGTAAATAACACACAGCAGAGTATTTTACATAGGAGAGCAAATCTCCCAGGTCGCCATTAAAAGTACCTGAAACACCCGTGGGCCCAAACACAGTAACCTCAGTTTTGCTATTATTAAATGCAAACAAAAATTTAACAAAACTAAGACAAGCATGCTGATAATGAGCTTAAGCCTTTTTCTGTCAAAGGGCAAATAAATTTGTGTCATCAGCATAAAAGTGAAATGACACCACATGTTTAGAAAGAATAGTACCCAAAGGAAGCATATACAACAAGAACAAAACGGGGACCAAAATGGAGCCCTGAGGGACTCCATAATCCAAAACAGAAACAGAAGAAGAAAACCCATCAAGACAAACAGAAAAGGTTCTATCATTCAGATAGGACTTAAACCAATTTAGAGCACAACCTTCAATACCCACACATTGTTCAAGTCGTGAGATAAGAATTCTGTGGTCCACAGAATCAATGTCACCACTTAAATCTAAGAGTAAGAGTATCACAGAATCCCCTGAGTCAACAGACAACAAAATATCATTAAAAACTTCTAATAATGCTAACTCGGGAATAAATCATTTTTGTTGCATTTGTAAAATACTCTTGACTCTCTGTTTGTCATGAGCTTGAATCACTCATCTGTTTCTGTGTTCTCTGAATTAGAATTCAGCAGGAAGTGCCCAGTCAGGAAGTTCTAGAACAGGAAATGATGTGGATGAAGGAACATCTGTCGCAGCTGGGTTCTCCTGTAGTGCTCTGTCACAATGACCTGCTCTGCAAGAACATCATTCACAATGCAAAGGAAGGTGAGTTTTGCTGGTGTACACCATGACAACATGAAATCAAACTTACTGTATTTACTTTTATGATAAAACTGCCTGGTCTCATTATGTACACAAGTGTGTATTACAAGTGAGTAATCTACTATCAAAAGCTTGCTCTGCCTCTGAAACAGCTTTCTTCTTGTGTAACCAAAGTCATGTGGGAGGGAAAAATAATATTTATTATTTCGTAGCCCGCTTTTCATGTTCAGTTCAACTCCTATGGATGGGAAGATTTTTTTTTATGTTTTTGAAATAAGTCTTTTATGCTCACTAAGGTTGCATTTGATCAAAAAATGTAGTAAAAGCTGGGAAATATTCTTTTGTAAAATTGTGAAATAATATTAATTAAGATATTTTAAAATGTAACTTATTTCTGTAATGGCAAAACTGAATTTTCAGCTTCATAACTCCAGTCTTCAGTGTCACATGATACTTCAGAAATCATTCTAATATGCTGATTTGATACTCAAGAAACATTTGTTATTATCATTGTTGAAAACAGTGTTTTTGTGGTAACCATGATACTTTTTTTTTCAGGATTCTTTGATAAATAAAAAGTTCAAAAGAATAGAATTATTTGAAACAGAGATTATAAATATCTTTACTGTGGCTTTTAATCTATCAATCTAGTGTGTCCTTGCTAAGTAGAAGTAGAAAAAAAAACACCTTACAAAACCCTAAATGTATGAACGGTAGTGTATATGTCATAGTACACAAGTTAAATGCATTGTGAATGTGTTTTTATGTTGTTTTAAAATGTAAATCTAATATTGTGCAACATAATAGCAAATATACTGACTGCTGCCAGGTTTCACAAACACTACTGCCGCTGTTTCCATGCTGCCTCCCGTGTTTTATTATTAAGGCAAACATGAAATCCTTCATTTGGTTGAGCCAGAAGTTGACATGTTAGGCTGCTCAAACAAAGAAATATTGACAACACCATAGAGCCAAAGTGTTGACACTATTCACCTAAGGCATTACATTTTGTGATTTTGTTTTAAAAGGCATCCAAGTCTAATATTTTGTTTTACTTACTACAAATCAACCCCTCTTGCTTTTTTCAGGTCATGTTCGGTTTATCGATTATGAATACTCAAGTTACAACTACCAAGCATTTGACATTGGAAACCATTTTAATGAATTTGCAGGTGAGCAGCATTAAAATATAATTCATAAAAGTAATCCTCTGGGATTTGTTTTGCATTAACCTCATTATACGTGTATGTGTTTGTTTATCAGGCATGAGTGAACCCGACTATAACCTTTATCCCAGTCGAGAAATGCAGTTGGACTGGTTGCACACTTATTTGCAGGCCTACAAGCTCTTTACCAAGAAAGGTGAAGAGGTGAGCCGGCGTGAACTGGAGACGCTCTACGTACAGGTCAACAAATTTGCTCTGGTGAGTGTCCAGAGGATCATAGAGGAGGAAGTGTTTTCATAATGCTGCATTTATGAAGTTTATTCCAAGGATATGGATTACAAGCTTTTTGCATGTTGATTGGTGTCAGCGATACGTCTGTGTATGGACTGAGCTGGGAGGCTTTGGCTTAAAGTTCTTGTTCTTCTGCTTTGGCAGGCTTCACATTTCTTCTGGGGTTTCTGGGCCTTGATCCAAGCCAAGTACTCCACCATCGAGTTTGACTTCCTCGGGTAAGCAGCATACCCAGCTCAGCAAACCTTTCATCTCTGTGATTGGGGAGGATTTATTTACAGGCATAAAGATCATTATCAACTCTGACTGTGTTAAGAGAAATGGGTGTTACTGGCAGATAAAGAATGTACAGTAAGTGATATGTAAGTGACAGTAAGTGGTGGAAACTCGTGCAGCCAATAAACAAGCAAGTTTTAGTTCCAGAAGATACTTTTGTAAGCTAATATAAAATTGTATACTGGGAATAAGTCCTGGTATTTCAATATTGGACACATTAGACCAAATTTAGAAATGTAATAAAAAAATGCTAATATAAGTAGTATGTGACATAGTATGCATGACATACATATGAATATCATAATATAAATCATATTAATACCCTGAAAATATAATTATACTATATGGGTCTCCAGGTTATTTGTCACTTTTTAATATCAAAAGTAAAACAAAAAATACAACAAAATAATAAATAAATAACATTTATATATAGAATCACATTAGACCTGAAGCTGAAATGAGGCTGAGATCTCTTGGGTTCATGGCTAAAACAATGTCCCAATACCTTGTCCATTGTCTTTGCACTTTAAAAATACATTAGATCTGAATCTGTGAATGAAAGCCTCAGTTGGAGGTGAACGTCTAATATGAAGCTCTCCCGTATACTGCAAAATGAATGGGTGCGGATTGTTATTTCTATTGCCTATAGAAACCAGTCAATGGTGTTTGTTTTCCAGAGGTGAAAAGTAGATTTGACTGCAACAAGTGAGTTATAGCCTGCTGCCCTCTGTGATTTTGGCACTCGACCTAAACCACACTTGAAATCTTCAGGGTTGTGTATCTGTAGCACTATGAAACTTTAATTAAGTTACTCTAGTCTTGGTTATATGGAGGGGGGTGAGTTATGTCACCCGTAGGCTGAGGATATTTTTGTAGGAATTGTGGCTCACTTTTATTAAACTGGCTCAAGTAATATATTCTGTAAACTTCCTACGTCACCAGTTTCCAAGCAACAGGTCGTGGTTCTACTCAGGCTGCACCTTTTAACAACAAATCACTGCCTGGCCTGCACAGATGAGATCAGGAGGGATCCTACAGCCTGTTTCAAAAAAATCTGCATTGTTGCATGTAGGAAAAGGTTAAAAAAGTCAACAAATAACCAGGTCTTAAGGCAAAATGGCCATCATGCCTTTTTAAATTGATTCAATATATATTTCATAATGTAAAGTGACGTGTGGCCAAGTATGGTGACCCATACTCGGAATTTGTGCTCTGCATTTAACCCATTCAAGTGCACACACACACACAGTGAACATGCACCCGGAGCAGGGTGCCCGGGGAGCAGTTGGGGGTTCGGTGCCTTGCTCAAGGGTCTCACCTCAGTCGTGGTATTGAAGGTGGAGAGAGCGCTGGTTTTTCACTCCCCCCACCGACAATTCCTGCCGGACCTGAGACTCGAACCCACGACCTTCGGGTTACAAGTCCATTTATTATGCTGTTTTGTATTTAATAATAATACATTTATTTGTAATTAATTTGTTATACTTACAGTATAGTGCTACTAATATAAAATATATAGCATAACACAAACAAAATCTATAAATACATTTAAAAACTGATGATAATTGTATAGATATAACAGCCAAAATTGGTCAAAATTTCTAAAATAAAAATTTTAAAAAGTGACATGTTTTTGTTTTTATTTGTTTATAAAAAAAAATATCTCCTTTTAAAGGTAAAAGAAAAACATTATTGGGGAATTAAATTAATTTCTGATTTTAAAAAAGTTCATTTCTGACAATATTACTTATTGTGTCTTATTCCTAATTTTTACTTTAAGCTCTGATTCTGTCATACTCTTTTCCTAGGTATGCCGTGCTACGTTTCAATCAGTACTTCAAGACCAAACCTGCTGTAATGGCCCTGGAGATCCCCAAATGAGACGTCAAGATTGAGAGGACAGTGCTGGTATCTGTTGACCTCATCGTTGACCGTTTGACTATGGAATCAGAGGCCTTTTTAGTCAGGGAAGGGTATGGGGTGCAGCAGGGGTAAGCACTGGGAGCTCTTATGATTGGTTGACAACTTGTCTGCCAAGTCGTAGTTCCACAAATTCTTGATTCCTTTTTCAAACACCATGTTTCTTTTTGGGACTCAACTTTTAGTTGATCAAGTTTCCTTTGAAATGAGTGTGTTATTTATGTTTTAAATGCAGCTTATTTATTAATTATCATTGGGCACTTGTTTTGCACCAAAGTAGTCCTTATGCTCTTGGAGCCGACTTTGCTTTGGGACTTCTTGTTATGGGTTTTGTGGTGTGAGAGCCATAGCAAACTTGTGCAGAATTTGCTGTGAAGGAGGCCTGCAGTGATGTTGAGCAAGGGGATATGTTGATACTATGGGCATTGACTAACACGAAACATTCAGCCTGTGGCTTCATAATGCTTCTGTCAAATGGACGTGGCCCACCGTTGTTTCTTTTGCATTGACAAATGCTCGAAGTCCAAAAAAAAAAAAAACTTTCAGCTTTATCTTACTGTGCAGTAATGGGTTTATGTGTAAAAATCTGGGCTGGTAATACAAAAGTTTCTGTTTAAGAGCCAAAAGGGTTGACTCAGGAGCTAAATAGTTACAAGGTCAAAATCCTGCCCTGTTCTGCACTATTACGCACTTGAGCAAATGACTTAAACCCTGCAATTTGTCCCCTATAAGTCACTTTGAATGAATGACGTCAGTTAAAAGGCAAGTAACCAAGTAACCATTGAAGTCAATGTGACCTTACTCCAGACATTCCCAAGAAGTCAGGTCCACGAGACCCCTCAGCATCTCAGCCACATTTCCACCTATTTAGCTTTTATGGTTGTGAGGAGTTCTGTTGAATTTTCCACTCATCACAGGCTGTGGTATATTACCACCTGCCTCCCACTTCCCCCTCCTTCTCTCGCTCTCTGTCCTACAGTAAATGCGTTTGCATCACCTGGCATAGCTCAAACTGAGATTTGAAAGTCATTATCTGCTCAATAATCACTAAGCTCATTCCTAATGTAACCCCACCAAACGTCAATCTAATGGTTTTCTAAAACTGGAAAAGGGGGCAATATTTATGTAACAGTGTTTTGTAGTTTGATTCAGGTCACCATCTGTGAGGACTCAATGTCCTGGAGCAACAAGGACAAGATTATTTAAGTTTAGAATATTAATTGCAGATTTAGGGATGTACTGTAATTGCCATTTCAGTCCTTAAATACCTGGACTGTCTGGTTGTATGTGGTTTTCAAAGTCTTTTCAAAACATTTTGAATTACATTTGGTTTCAGTGCTGTTAATCTAAAATTCTCTCACCTACAAGAACATAATTTCACATTTCCCAGTCTTTTGCTTTATTTAATTTCTTTGTCGCATATATTATGCTTTCACTGTAAAATGATGTCCGTTTTTGTCTTGAGTAAAACATTTCAGTAGAAACTTGCTAAAGCCTCACAAAGCACAAAATCATAAGTTTATTTTGTCATGCATATTAGAAATGCCGAGAATTGCACCATTTTGGTCACTCCAGCTGTAATATTGTACTGTAAATTAGAGGTAGAGAGATATTTGTGGGAATCTGTCAAGAACATATCAGGCCATATACCCAAAAGAAAAAAAAAAGATTTTTCAAAAAGAAAGTAAGCCTTTTTTTTTTTTTTTTTTTTACAAATGTTACGATTTATTGCATTTAAACATTATTTTCATGACAATTTAAGAGGAAAAATTCTAATTATTGAAAATTATTAAGAAGTATGAGAATTAAAAAATGTGGAGGCATTAAAAGAACTTGGGGAGAGAAATTAGCTAAATTATGGAAATGTCATATTCTGTTATCTTTTAATGCAAAATGTAGTTTCTTCATTTTCCTCATCACTTTTGTCATAAAATGTGACCTGAATATGTTTTTGTGAGATTCATCCATTTGAAGTATCACTGGAATCTGTCTGGCAGCTTGTTGAACACAAGTGTCCTTTTATTGACCGACCAGATCAGTCCCTGGTCAATTAGTACAGCAGTCCTTTTCAGACCATCTTGAAACTGAAGCTAGATGTTGCGTTTGAGCAGTGGGGTCACGGTCAAATCTCTGAGGTGTCTCTGGCTCTGTGTCAGGAGCAGGTTAATAATGAAACGCTTTGAGACGCAGGTGACGACTGAAAGCAAGAGGCCCTTCAACAAAATCATGAATAATTTTGTAGCCAGTGTTTCTCTAATGAGTTGGAACTGCCTGATAGCTCTGTGCTAATGTACTGTGTTCTGGTTGTGCTCACTTTTTACTGCTTAAATCTAAAATTTGAGTTGCAGTTTTAAGGTGAATCTTGAGAAAACATTTCCAGGTCAAATTTCACCATACAAATTAAAGTAAAAGTGAGAAATAATACTTTGCATACAGAAAATGCAAAAACATTCCCATTTCTGTAAAAAAAAACTTTAAAAAAAAATTAAACAGTGTAAATTAAATAAAAAATACTATATAATGTGCTATATAATTTAATTAGTTTTATGTGCATTACAGTAATGAAAATGCAACCGTTATTAGAATTACAGTAAGCTACTGGGATTCATTTTCATAATGAGAAAAAAGGTCCTAAAAATGAAAAAGGTTCTTTATTCATAAGTAGTCGCCTTTTTTTATGCTCTTGATAGCTTCCACAAGATTCTACTTTTAAGGTCAGCTGATGTATTTTTACATCTTTGTCACTTTGTGGTCCATGATGACTGATGACTTAAAAAAGTGAAAAATATTTATATAGGTTGCATATTCCTTACATGCATGAAGAATGTTATAAATTTGAACAATATGTTCATATAACAGGAGTGCAATTGCAAGATATGTGTGTAGATGTACATATGTGAGTGTCCACCAGAAGGAAACTACTTCTGTAAAATATTAGTTACTTATCAGTTTTCTTTTATGATATGAAGGCCATTTCTAATGTGAAGGGGGAAATGTTTACAAACACCATTCCCATTTCCTGGAAAGTTTATTTTGTATATAACTGAGATTATCCCGTCAACTTCTTAATGTGGAACAAAGTAGATTTTAACATCCTAGACATTTCATAGCACCACCCCTGTATATAATATTAGTTATTATCTCTATTATTTGAAATGACCTTGTAAATATCCCTTTTTAAACCTCTGCTCTTAAAAGGGATGTTTACAGGAAGCATCTGTGTTGGGATTTTTGTTTCATTTGCTATATTGAAAACATACCAAACAAGTCTGCTTCACAGTGTGCGCTTTATTTGAATGTACATCTTTTGTGAATGTACTGAAGAAATGTACAGATTATGTTTCATTTATACTTACATCTTTAGTATTTCTACTTGTTTTGTATATTTAACTGAACTGGGAGTGTATTTGGATTGTTAGGTTGGCATGGGCCCCAAGTGTGTGTTTGCTGGAGACCAGCAGGCGGCGCTACTGTAACGCAGCGAGGCTTTCGGCGCTGATAAGGATTCTGTAAATACTGTGAAATATTGTGAAAAATACTGTACAATGTTTTCGCTTCTATTTAACTGTGAGAATAATTTAATAATTATTAAAATTTTACATTAAAATGTCAGAGTTGGATCTAATTGTGTGCAAATGTCATTTTCCCCTTTGATATAATAGAATAATAAATCTTAATATGCATTAAATGCACATTTTCTGCTGCGTGAATCAAAATGGCCTCTGGTAACACCAAAGTGTCTTCTGTGTCACACCCGGTCAAACGCTTACGTTTCCTCATTGAACTTTTGCCCGTCTCCTGTGGACGGTGACCTGCATTTTGTCCTGGTAAGCACAGGAAGACTATTAAGGATATCCCGAATCAAACAAGCACAATGCAGTTACACACATGCATATGGCAAGCCGTTTTAGCATTAAATACTCCTTGCTGTACATGCAGGACTCCATCCTCGGCGTTAAAGTGCAGGAACTTGTTTTTTTTTTTTTTTTACAAGTTTCTCCTCAGAGATTCAGTTGTTTGAATGAGGTAAAACTCTACCATTTTCTCAAGCTCTTTCTACGTACATAAACATATAATTTAAATTTAAGTTGCTGTGTAATAGCTAAGCCAGTTTATGTGATCACGTCCGACTGACTAGTTACGATTATGACTTGGGCATTATGCTTAGCGTAGTTATGTTTATGACTTGGATTAATAATTAGCACTTTACTAAACTGAATCCAGTTGTTCACTCCAAAAATATAAAAATTAATCTGAACCACAGAAGTAAACATAACATTTTTTATTTATGCTTCAAAAACAAACCACAAAACTTGCTTGGAAAAATGCAACATACAGAAAAAAAACATGTACACCTTTAAATTATACACTTTTATAAACAAAATAAAGTCTATATCTATATTTTACAACAGCTGGTTTTGCAACAGTTGTCCAGATTGTGAATCATATTTCCCACCCCCATGGGTTCATTCTACAGATAAAATACAAACTGTATTTCTGTGTCCAGCTATATACATGTCATCATTTCCTTTAACATGTATAGGTTTATCCTAACAGTCCACTGGCAGATATCTTCTAAAATCTCCTCTTTAAAATATAAATGCTTATAATTTTTAACAAAATGTTTACATTTCAGCTCAACTGTAAATTGACTAGCAGCCCAATAATATGGACCCGGTCTTAAGAACTGCTGGAATGATAACTCAGTTATTTTCTTCAGCACAAAATCACGCTATATATACACACACACACACACACACACACACTAAAATAGAAAAGTAAACCAAAATTTAAAAAATGGGAGTAATCTGAGGGAAGGGCATTATTCACATCTCCTTTGACAAAATGAATAGTAGAAATGATTTGCGTATGTACATCAAGTGCAAAATTCTACTCTGAAAAAAAAAAGTTCTATTATGAATCATGAGGATCTGACAAAAATATATTAGATGGGGAAAGTGCATTTCAAGTGATTATTCTGCACTAAATCAAAAGAAACAAAAATATGATTTTGACCTGGGGAAATATTTTAAGTGCAGTACCCATATTCAAACAGCAGAGGACGCCACCAACCTTCGCTGCACTTAGCGAGTCTTAAAGGGGCAGGCTGCTTAAATCTCTGTAGCAGAACAGCCTCTAATCGT